ACATGGGGACGGTAGAGCCAGCGGCTGAGCCGCGGCCGGAGGACGCCGCCGCTGTCGCCACAGCTGCCGGCCCGAGGCGCATCGAGGTCCCCCGGCCCCCCTCCATCGAGGAGTTCACCATTGTGAAGCCCATCAGCCGCGGCGCCTTCGGGAAGGTGTACCTGGGCCGCAAGGCGGGGAGGCTCTATGCCGTGAAGGTGAGGGGCCGCGCGGGGCGCCTCCCCCGCCGCCCTGGGGGTTCCCTCGTTGCCTGGTATTGTGGCCGCCCTCCGTTTTCCTTTGACCCTGTGTGGGAAAGGGGCGTCCGAGGGGAAAGGGGGCGCCCTGCCGGGGGCCTGCCCCGGCCGTGAGTCCCCATGCCTTCCGGCACCTGAGGTCTCGGGGAGCCGCCGCTCTTCTGGCAGAAGCTTAGTGCCTGGGAGATGTGTCTAGCTTTCTCCTCACGTTCGCCTGGAAGCTTTGCTCAGGAGGCACTTGATAACGACAACTGCTTTTAGCAGCTTCTTAAATATAGAGAAACCGCGCCAAAAGCCTTCCAAAGCTTGTAGATACTTGTTATAATTGAATGCCTTCAGCTGTCGTGCCACTGGGAGGGCGTTCTCACATTTGTTCGTGAATGTCTGTCTCGAGATGTGTAAAGGGAGAAAATTATAAAAAGGACTTATTGCTGAGTAGACATTTGAAAAAAACCCTCGCGTTTTCTATGTTTATACGCGGAGGACTGAAAACTAGGCTTGTCAGTAGTAAAAACTTTACTGATGGTTTGTGCGAGCTTGACTTTGCAATTAGAAGGATTATAACCAGCTGCATAGTACATAAAGAAAATTTAAGAAGTCATGCAAAATAGACATTCTCTTCAGAGTTATATATGGCTATTTACATGATTGTATTGTATGCGTTTTGAGGTTAAATTTTGGATTTTTGTGTAAATCCTTTATTGTTATTGCAGTAAAGTTTATGGATTATTGACAGCTACATTTAACACGTGTTACATATTTGTATGGTTAAGATCAACACTCATTAAATGTTCAGTTCTATACATTGTGAGGTTTTGGAGGTTTTTTGTATCAATTTTGATAGTGGTGATGGTAGCTGTGGGATCACTTTCTATAGTTAGATGCTGCATATAGAGTGGTTCCATTATGTTACTCTAGTACCTTACACAAGTTTATTCAAAGTATTCTGACCTAAAAGCTTTCGTGTAAATCCTTTATCCCTATTACAGTGAGACTTATGGCTCATTCAAGCTACTGAATTTAACATATGCTAAGTATTTTTACAGTTAAGGTCAATGCTTACACAGAAGGTATCAAATGATACTTATGTCTTGCTATTTTTATATGTTATCAGATTCTGTTATTGAATGGTGGTGGTAGCTGTAGACTCAACTTTTTACAGTTTGTTGCACAGAGAATGGATAAATTAAACTTACTTTAATATCACCATACATATCTAGACCAAAGATGTTGAAGATGGGCAAACTTCCAAGGTATTTAGTCAACTGCTACATATGCACATCAGCTGTGCTATTTTATGTCTTCTATTCAAGATTAAAATTGAGTGGATATCAACATACAGTAGAGTAATTCAGTAGAAGAATTAGAGCCCAATTCACAGTTAAGCCTGTTATTTCTTCATTGTGAGTTGCATGTCTCTGAGGCTTCTTCCCAAGGAAATAAATATTTGGGTGACTTGATTGTAAATTTTAAATTAAGCAAAAAATTAACTTGCTTTTTCTGCAAAATTAAGAATTAGAGGCTGGAATATTTGCTGTCTTGCACTTGAGCATACTGAGATGGGATGGCTTGCTGATGTACTCTATTTTCAAGCCACAGGCCATATATCTCAGCCTCTGAAGAGATGGAAAGACTTGATCAGCAAATGTATATCTAGGCATTGAACACTTTTTCCCAGTTCTGAGTTGTGCATTGTGGATAAGATTTACTCTGAGCAGCTTAATTTCAGATACAGCCTAAACACTCGTTTCCCAGTGTGTGCAATTGCAGTAAACATTGACAGTGTGATTCCCACTCAGGATTGAATTAGAAGAGTAATGAAAAAGGTTCTCTAATAACCTATGGTTTAAAATTCTGTCTGTATATGAAATTATAACTCTGTTTTGTATTTATATATGTATGCAAGTTTGAAATATAGAGAAATGATTTGTCTAAAGAACTGTGTCTTGAGCACAGAAAAGGATATTTATCTGCTTTGTTTTGTTTTTCAGGTAATGAAAAAAGCGGACATGATCAACAAAAACATGGTTCACCAGGTCCAGGCAGAGAGGGATGCGCTGGCTCTCAGTAAAAGTCCTTTCATCGTGCATTTATACTACTCGCTTCAGTCAGCTAATAACGTCTATTTAGTGAGTAAATAAATGGCTGTTGTACTTATGTTAGTGTTGGAAATGGAGTGCAAAACTATGTTCATGTCTGAAAACATATTTTTATAGTAGTCAGCAGATACTCCTTAGTCACTTGTACTTTCTTCTTTCTCAGAATGGTTGAACAAGTGAAATATTTCTTTTCCCCTGGTACCTTTGAGATCTTTCCATCTGTGTTCCCTGTTTTCTAATAGCTAATCTGTTCTAGGAACATGTAGAAATCTTAGGGAAAACAACACAAGAAACCATTCTGTTCAAGCAGAGTCCAAATGACTGAAAGATATCCCATGGCCCACTTAAAAGGAGATCTGTTTTACTTAGTGCCTGTGTTCATTATGGTAGTTGGCCTAGATGACAAGAGGATAACTGAGTGGCAAAACTAAGTGCTAGTCTACATGGAGCACCGCATGACTTAAATATGGTTTTATACAGTGCCTCCTCGTAAAGGTGGTATGGATTAAGACTGTCTACAAAGGGTCTAGCATAATTTGTCTGGTTTGCTGTAAGCGCACACAGCAAAGGGCTTAATTAAACTCTGAGGTGAGGTTGCTCTGCACTCCTACAATGCATTTAAAGTGTAATGAAGGCTTCTTTTCCTGGAATATCTGTTAACTGCTGCATGGAGTAGAGGAGTTCAGGGTGCAGGATTTGTAAAGGAGGTGCTAGAATATGGAATAGTATTGTGTGTTGGAATCTAAGTACTGATGAGATTTCTCGACCAAAACCTGCTAAGTTCATTCTTGTCACTGAAGGGTGAGATTCTGAAACCCTGCTGACTTAACTTGAATATGACATGGGCCATAATGTATGGATTTGCATAAATTTTTTGGACGTATTTTTTTAAAACACTTTCATGTCAATTGCACAGTAGCTCTTACTGGATACATTCTGGAAATTTGCACTTATTTCATAAGATTTAGGTCTGAATTTAATATTGTGTATAAACACTTGCAAAATAATCATTGTGGTCACTGATTTTTATTTATATAGTACAGGGGTCTTTGGCTTCCGGCCTTGTGTTTCACTGAAGCATTTTGCAATTTATTTTCTTATTCTATTTCTAGAGATCTTTCAGAAGTTAATTAAAAAACTAACTACAGTAGTTATTTGGGAGCTGATTACAGAAACTAGGCTAGGCAAATAATAAAAGTAAATGATCTATTTGAAATGGAATGTTTTGTGTCCTCTGTCATCTGAAGCTTTAATTATTTTATTCAAGTGAAAAATATTGTGTGGGAAATGAAGTTCATGCAGGGAAGCTTCTAGCAG